TTTTTTTTTTTTGCTCTCCATTTGCTTGGTAAATCCTCCATCCCTTTATTTTGAATCTATGTGTGTCTTTGCACATGAGATGGGTCTCCTGAATACAGCACAGTAATAGGTTTTGACTTTTTATCCAATTTGCCAGTCTATGTCTTTTGATTGGGGCACTTGGCTGGTTTACATTTAAGGTTAATATTATGTGTGAATTTGATCCTACCATTTTGATAGTAGCTGATTGTTTTGCCCGTTAGTTGATGCAGTTTCTTCATTGTGTCGACGGTCTTTACCATTTGGTACGGTTTTGAAGTGGCTGGTACTGGTTGTTCCTTTCCATATTTAGTGCTTCCTTCGGGGGCTCTTGTAAGGCAGGCCTGGTGATGACAAAATCTCTCAGCAATTGCTTTTCTGTAAAGGATTTTATTTCTCCTTCCACTTATGAAGCTTAGTTTGGCTGGATATGATATTCTAGGCTGAAAGTTACCTTCTTTAAGGATGTTGAATATTGTCCCCCACTCTCTTCTGGCTTGTAGGGTTTCTGCTGAGAGATCCACTGAGAGTCTGATGGGCTTCCGTTTGTGGATGACCTTACCTTTCTCTCTGGCTGCCCTCAGCATTTTTTCCTTCATTTCAACCCTGGTGAATCTGATGATTATGTGCCTTGGGGTTGCTCTTCTCAAAGAGTATCTTTGTGGTGTTCTCTGTATTTCCTGGATTTGAATGTTGGCCTGCCTTGCTAGGTTGGCTCTGTCACTCAAGCTGGCCCACTATCAGTGGGAGGATCACAGCTCACTGCAGCCTCGAAATCCTGGGCTCAAGCAAACCTCCCATCTCAGACTCCTGAACAGCCAGGGCTACAGGCAAGCACCACCATGCCTAGCTACATTTTTTAATTTTTTGTAGAGATAGAGTCTCACTATTTTGCCTAGGCTGGTCTCAAACTCCTGTCCTCAAGTGATCCTCATGCCTTGGCCTCCCAAACAGCTGGGAATACATATGTGAGCCACTGTGGCTGGCCTAAATCTGATATTTCTCAGTTCACTAAAAAGATGGTGCAGGCCAGGTGCTGTGGCTCACACCTGTAATCCCAGCTCTTTGGGAGGCTGAGGCACGAAGATCACTTGAGGACACAAGTGCAAGACCAGCCCGGGCAACACAGCAAGAACCCATCTCTACCAAAAAAAAAAAAAGATAATGCAACATGAGCAGAACAGAGATTTTACTCAGAAACACAATCGCACTGTGGATTTTTTTAAAGTACCAGACATCTTAAATCTTTTATGATGGAAGGAAATATGTAACTTTATATTTAAATATTTCAACAAAATGACTAGTCTGCATTTCACTTACCTACTGCATTATTTCCTATGGCGATTATAAACTTGGAGCACGAATATTTTTCTAGCAAAGAAACTTCCAAAGATGTTTTTGTTTGTCTTCGCAGGAGCCGCACCTCCCTAACACAAGAAACAAGATGAAACTAAAGCAATTTCAAAGTAAACAGTACCATATTACTAAGACAAAAGGGCACTATATGTACAACTTGCAATAAATAAAATACACGTTTGTTTTATAAAGAATTAATATCCTCAGGAAACAATGGACTCGGTAATGATAACCAACAGATAAAACTATTGCATATAAGTTTTCGGAGAACTCTAAAATAGTGATCAGGCTGTCCACCTGACCCAAGGATCAATCTTAGCATCCCTAAAAGTGAGACAACTGGTCAGAGCCTGCAACAAGAAACAGCACCACTTAGTTGACACTCTTGCCGACAAAAACATTGAATTTGACCAAGCCTCCAAACGAACATTCATTTACAGGACATGCAGGTGATACACACGTTAAGTGACATCACAAGGAAGCGATCAGACGAATTCAGAGTGTGGGGCACTGGACAGGACAACCAGTCCTGTACCTTAGAAGAGGTAAAAGAGGAGGCCGCTCTAAATCAAGTGCGATGTCTAACGGTAACCTGTGGACCTTGTTAGGATTCTGATTCACACAAAGCACTGCAAAATGTCCTGTTTGAGAAAACTAGGTAAACGTGAGTGATCATGGACTGACTCTGAAATGATACCGACAAATTATTACTAGTGTTGTTAGGGGTGCTAATAGCATATGTAAGAAAATCGCTAAAACGTTTGAGATGTATTCTGAAAAATGTAGAGGTAAAAGGCCATGATGACTGGAATACGCTTAAGGGTGGTGGGAGAGGAAATAAACATGGCAAAATCTTCCTGTTACCTTTACCTGGTTGTTTAGGCGTCAGGGCTCGCTTGACTATTTTCTCTTACTTTTGTGTGTTTGGAAACAATTCTTTTAAAGAGTGTTCATCTCCTACTGACACATTATGCTAACTGAAGTGTGGGACGCAGGTCTCAAAAGTTTCGAGGGAATCGGTGTCCGTGAACAAACCAAGAAAAACGCGGTGGGGCCGACGGGAGCGCTGCGGCCCAAGACAATGTGACAGGCTGGAAAAGCACGACTCCGTAAGACACCAGGCCTCCAGAAATACTCCAGGAAGCCTTTAAAGAATGGATCTGAACCCAGCCCTCCCACAGCGGCTTCACCCTGGACTTGACGAAACGCCAGCGGATCCATGAGAGCACAGCACACACCTGGGGCTGGCGCCGCCGGATGCCGCCTTCACGGAGACCCAGGGCCCGGGCAGAACCACGGAGCGGCGGCAACCGCGGGGGCCAGTTAGGCCTCAGTGGAAGACCGCGGAGCCCCGGCCTCAGGCGCCGTAGCGGCTTCGGGGCCCACGCACCTTCCAGCGGCGGGTAGGGCGCCGCCGTTATCCGGGTAACTCACCTCTTCCGCGCCAGCTGCTGCCGCACGTCCCTGTCCTCTGGCGTCTCCCTCCGCCCCTCGTCCTCCTCCTCCTCGTCCTCTGTCCCAGCTCGGCACGGTGCCTTCACCACCTCTCCAAAGAACGTCGCCGCCATGGCCGCCCCAGGACCGGCTGGACACAACTGCGGCGCCCCGGAACTGCGCATGCCAGCTTGCGCCAGACCACGCCCCCTCACCGCGCGGCGACATATCCCACCCAGCGGAGGCCACGCCCTCCGCGCAGAGCCCGAGCTTGCGGCCACACCCCCACTGCGCGGGCAATACGCCCCACCCCGCGCAGGCCACGCCTCCAGGCGCCGCCGAGCTCGCTGCCACGCCCTCTGCATTGCCCGCCCGCGCTGCCAAGCCCTGGGCGTCCCAGCAGGTTTTTGTTTTTCTTGTTTGAATTACAGACGGTGGTCTCGCTGTGTTGTCCAGTCTGGTCTCTAATTCCTGGGCTCAAGTGATCCTCCTGCTTAGGCCTCCTGAAGTGCTTGGATTACAGGCGTGAGCCACCGCGCCCGGGCCCGGCGGATTTCCATTAGCAGCTTGAGCCCCGCGGGCGCCGAGAAATAGGACTGCGGACTAGAGGGGCCCTGGGGGTGGGGGGGGTTGGGGGGGGGACGGAGGGCGGGTCCTCCACGGAGGTAGCGGAACCGGGGGTACAGGGGCAGTGCCAGCGCCACTGGCCGTAGCGTTAGGGAATTGTGCCCTCGCAGGTCCTTCCCTCCTTGTCCGTTACCCTTTTCCTGCTGCGTTAGGAGAGACTGGGGGAGCCTTGGTGTACCGAGCACCCGCTCCAAACTTCGACTGCCCAGGTAGGTGGCGGCGCGGTGGCACTGAGGACCCCTGGAGCCAGGTGCGCTGTCAGGAAGCGGGCACGGGCGGACGGAAGGGCAAGAAATACAGCGCTTCGTGGTGGTATAAAAATGAGACCTTTACTCTGGCAATAGGAATTCACATTTCAAAAGCTGATGATTGTCAAGCCGGTTTAAAAAACATTTTTATGAGAATGTAAAAAATAGTGTATTTTTTAAACTTGGCCATTTTCTAATACAAAATGTTTCTTTTTAAATAGCCATTGATAAGCAAAATGTGTTTAATTGGTTCTCTTTCAAATGTGCTGGTAGACAAAGTTCGAGGAGCACTGTTCCAAGCCAGAGAAAATGGGGACGTCATAATTTTAAATGAAAATATGCAGTGATACAATGAAAAATAACCGTTTCCTATTTAGTTCTACTGAACTACATGGCATCGCCTGCATTTTGTGACTTTGTCAGTAGTCACAAAGTAAGTACTACTTTGGGGTCAGATAAAATCTCAAAGCTGCTAGAAACATTTTAAGATGTAGAAAAATAATGATCAACAAAATCATTTACATAAAATTATTTAGCAGATTTACACATCTGCAGAAAATAATGTGTTCAGTTTTGAAGCAAAATCTGAACATTTAGCAATAAAATTAAGACCAAATTGCTAGCCAGTAAGAGCTTAGGAAACTTTGGGTATCCTTAGTGAGATAGAATAAAGATTACCAAAATCAGGTTTTAAAACATTAGGACTCCTGGGTTAACTGGTCTATTATAATGATGGAACTGCAGAATAAAAAGGTTTGGGCACTACATTGTCTTAGTCCTTTTGTTAATTTGTCATTTTTACCAGTAAGATCTTCAATTTGATTTCACAATTTCATTAATATTTTCTGCAAAGCAAATTAATGTAAATAGGGTTGTGGTAATACATGTGGCCATGATTTAAATTCTGCACACATTTCAGAGAGAACAATTTTACAATACTAAGTTTTAAGCAAATGCTTATTTCATGCAGTTACAATAAATTTAGGCCAAGCACTTTTTAAAAAGGCAATTATGTTTGAATTACTTAGCCAAAAAAGGATTCCATTATGCAAGACTGATAATACAATCTCAAATATTGACAGAAATTAACCCCACCACAGCAAATTATAAATTCAAAGATTAAATTATTTCATTACACCGAAATTGCCAAAAAAAAAAAAAACTTTGCATAAAATAGTCTTCAGTTAAGTACTTCCTTTTATAGTTACTTGTTAAGGACATAATCTACTCAAAAAAAATTATAAATTAAGTGTAAGTTTTGAACTGGAAAGAAGTTTAAGCATTTCATTAGAGCTCAAAAATCAAACCCCATGCACCTAAAAGTAATAGCAGTTTATTAGGAATTATCTTCCCTTTCTCACCTGTGCATCAACATAATAGGGATAGTTTAGATAAAAGTATACTACAAAAGGAGCAAAGAACAGAGACTTAGTAGGTTAGAATAGTCTGGCTTATGCTAAAAAACAAAAAGCCTTTTTTTAAAAAAACAGACATGCAACCACAAATTTCTGAAGTATTTTAGACACTTGATACATCTGTATAACCAAAAAAAAAAAAAAATGCATTTGTCTTAAAAAATAGAAACCTCTAGGTTTCTGTAGTTTACTTTTTCAAATTTACACATGCAAATCATATATTAATATTCAGGTATTTTTAAATGAGAAACAGCTTACTTTCAACAACTTAATTTTTCCAGTAACACGTTACTATGTTAAAAAGATGTGACGGTACATTTATTTAATCTGGCAATTTTAATTTCAACCAATTCATATAAACAACAAATTAAATCCTATTGCAAATACATTCTTTGTTGTACCACGACCAGATTTTCTAATCCTAGCGGAGGCCACAATTAAATAGGCCAAGCATGCAACCATTAAAGTTTGTTGGGATGAGATTGTAATAAATTTATTCAAAGTATTCAAGTTCTAATTTTTAAGGTGCTGTAGAGAAACATAAAAGATTCACTGTATCATCTAAAAATATGACTGTTTTGATCTTGAGCTATACCTTTTATTTTTTTAACTGATTAATACTTAAGACCTGCCTCTTAATGAGGCACATTTTTGGCATTTCTGTAAATGCTGCTACATAAAAGGAAAAATAAGGAATAGCTGTGGTAGTAACATTCATAGCTTTCATAGAAAAATATATACTCCCTGAATTAGTCATATCAAGTGGTCATTCAGTACAATCTCCAATATTATAAACAAAATGACATGAACGGACTTTATCTAATTGCCTATTTCCAACACTCTACTTCAGAACTCAGTAATCAGCATCTCAAGCTATTTTTTTTCTCACATCCTCCTAGTTTGTTTTTGACCTTTGGGGATGTGAACTGTAGGGAGTGAATCTGGGTAGAGTTTTTGCTTCACTCAAAAGTCAAATAGGCCCATTAGCACTTCCTTTGGAAAAGTGCCTAATATTTTTTCCTCATGACACCATAATTGTCATGGTCTGAATCTTTACTCTGTACTGGAGAACCCTTAAAATTAGCATCAGGTTGAGATTTTGAAATTTGTTCACTCCAAGGTGTTCCTAGCCTGTACACTTCCCATAATATTTTTCCTCTATGGAATCAAGTCTTCAAGGCCTTGCTTTCTGGAAAGAAGAATAGTAGTCTTATAGCAGGCCACTTGTCTTTTCTTTCAACCTCTCCACCTACAGACTCTGCAATCTATTTCCTCTTCAGAATTCCCTAGAGCACATGTTTGTTCAAGAGCTGACTGGGAGGAACCCACTGGATTATGGCCTTTAGAAAATTCCTCCGAAGATGCCAATCAGGGATTAATTTTAGAGCTGGGGGCAGAATGTAACTGCCAGTTTACTTGTGGCCCAGTTGTTTTCAGATACCACTTCTACATTCTCATAGTCACTATTGTGCATTTTCTTTCCAGGATCTGAACCCCCTTAAAAAAAGCACTTTGCTATTAGTATCTTCTAGCTCTTTTTCACTTTCAGAATTTATGGTTGTATCATCCTCTTTATAAACATTCAGTAATTTTTTCTTAGCCGCAGCAGAAGCATTTCGATGGGGCAGTTTTCTGCTACTCTTCCTAATCCAGACATTTTCTGGTCCTGAGATCGTTTCTTTTAGATTACTCATTATCTTTATTTTATTTGCAGCAACAGTAGCACATCTGCGGGGAACTTTCTCAGGTACCATTTTTGCTTTCAGAGTTTCACTAGGCATCTGCACTGCATCCTTCTCATTATGCATACATGTTCTCACTTTTGTATTGGGTTCTCTGTCTCTAGGAACAAATTCTGAAAAATGAGTGAAAGTTCATGTAAATGCAAAAATCTTGTAACACAAGATTTTACTACTGCTAACATTCCTCAACAACACTCATTTGGAAACAAATTTTAAAAGTCATACTGCTAAACGATAAATTTTTAAATGTGATACTAAGGGCTTTTGACATTGATATAACCTTACATTTGCTTATCTACAACTATAAGGATGTCACTTAAAACAGTAGCAGACTTTAAGAATGGGGTTAAAGTTCCTTCAGCATCGGCATCATAAAGCTGCTAATCTAAAAACATATGTATGAGCATTTTACATAATTTCAATTATTAAAGCTTAATTGTTCCAGTATTTTCTGACCTAGGTATGTGACACATACATGAGATTCAGATTGAAATTCAAAAAAATAACGTGGAGTTGCTTTAAGGAACTAAAAAGTGCAGAGTGCTATGAGAACACAGACTAGAAACCTAACCTAACCTAAGGGATCAAGGAAGGATTCCTTCAAGGAAGCATTTAGAAGAGAGCTGAAAATTTTGAAAGGATTTGCCAGACAAAAAGCACTTTGCAGAGTTAAGTCCTTCATGTAGACTAAGGCAGTTTTTAGAGGGGGCTTGAAATGACTCGAGCTGTGCAGAGCCACATGATGCCTGACCTACTACTCCATGCCGACCAAACTTAGGAGGGCTCAGGTATTTTTATTGTTACCAGTGTCTCAGAGCCAAATTTTCAGATTTCACAAACAAGTCTAATTAGTACTCTTGTAGAAGAGAAGTGGCATTTCTTTCACCATACGTATCTGAAGTTCACTGGCCCTTGAATTTTAGGTCTTTCTTGCAGCCATTAACAGTCAAACTATCTAAAATTGCCTTCATGGTACACATCAGTCCTGATGGCAGTTTGTTTTGTAGTACCCTGCCTGAAGTTTCCAGATACTTAGCATTTGAAAAAGTCAGGCTGTAGATCACTGAAATAACCACAATTGATATCCTACACCTACACTAGACTTCTGGAGGACTCCACCACATTCTTTTTACTACTAAGTACTAGAAAATGAGGGCTTTTAGTCAGATACTATCAAGTAACATGATTATTCTGTAGCAAAGAAACTACTACTGCCAACCTTCTGAATTTTTTCTTCTATGAAGATGTTTGCCCTTCTGTCACTAAGCTGACTAAAGGACAGATGAGTACAGTTAAAAACTGCTTCTGTGGACTGACATGTTCATACAGCCAGATTAATGAAGCAAGCCTCTGCTCTCACAATGGAAGCACTTCAGATTTTCCTGTAAGTCTATGAAACTGATTTCACACTTCTCTACGTTCAGGTAAGTGTTCTCTCCAAAATAGGTTAGGAAATACTTTATTCAAAGCAACCGTACCACATACACATCAGTTCTTTTTGCCAACTAACTTATGTGACTCACATGCTTTCCAGTAAAATTCTATTTCTAAGGGTTCTATGTTTTTAGAGTTAAATCTCTAGGCATTGTAAATGGCATTTTGCTAGAGTAAGATGCTCATCACAGCATTACTCCCATGCAGCATGCCCTTAACTCCTTCAGTTGGGCTCTGTGGGAAGAGAAGTGGCTTAAAGTACAGTGTGTTTACCACTTCAGAGACATTTTTCTTGGAAATTTTTAAATTATGAACTATTATCTCCAACAAGTCAACCCTACATCCAAAATGAATCTTAACACATTAAATCAATCTTAGGCAAATGCTAAAATATAAATATGCTACAAAGGGTAAACAAAAAGTTTAAAACATGCAAAATTAAGGTGAAATTTGCAATTTATAGTAGGATGATGATATACTATTATCAGCTAGCTGCACCATTTGCATTTTGAAAAAAAAATTAAACTCGTTCACTCCCAACAACCTACTCATCAAGTGGAACAGCCTATTTCAACTACAAATTTATTTGTAACAAAATGCTTTAAGTTGCAGAAATGAATTCCATTTTGATGTGTGATTAAAGTACCTATACTGACAATTTCGGAACCCAGTAAACACTAACTCTAAGACATTTTAATAAATGTTTGTCATCCGGAATAATGGATAAGATTCTGCAGGAAAAAAACCAAAACTCAGGTTTTTAAAAAATATTTTTAAGGAAATTTGAACTTCAATAACTATGCCCAAAGGAGGGAGAATTTGTGAATTATATTGTACACAGCAACTCTAACTTGATAAACCTGTATCTCTTTAGTCTTAGACAATAAAACAGGAATTTCATAGACTAAGAATAAAAATCAGAGAGAGAAAACTGTGGACAGCTTTTTTTAAATACATACTTTTAAGTATCACTGAAAACTTTAGTAAAGTGCTTTATTCTCAAGAAAACTACAAACCATTTTAGAAATACACGTATTTTCAGGGGGAAGTCAAATTGGTGTGTTAGGGTACAAACTTAAGAACTCTGGATGCTGCTGCTCTAATAATACATTTGTGATGATGCCATGTAATACTAAGTCAGTAGAATTCCAACAGTCCTACTGTCTCAGATGGTCTTGTGTCAATCATGTGTTCAGGAAGTCAGTGAGTGCTTGAGGACTATTGTTTTCCTGGAAGTGATTCCCTATTTGGATATGGCAAGAACACAACATCAGTAGTATAAAAATGTACATCTGTAGTAGCACTCCATGATCATTTACCTGGATGACCGCTTTGAATTATAACTCACGGATATGTGTGTATTCTAAGATGATATCTGTGGTGAATGGAAATCCAGGTACAAACATTAACAGTTCTGACAACACAATCTCTAGTTTCTACATTTTAAGGATGTCATATTCCAATTAGACTTTTTTATAATTTTTAAGCTACCCTATTTACAGATTCTGCACAAGTATTACTTCAACATACAAAACTTTTCCTGAATTCAAAGTAAACTGCACACTACAGAAGCATTAAAAATTTTTAATCAACATTTTTTTAATTGGAGCATTTGAAACAGATTTCATGAGAAAATGTTTGACTCAAAATGAAAACATACTAGCCTCTTTCATGAACTCCTAGGATCTTGATATTATTGGTTGCTGCGGTTGGTGGATAATGAAATCCACATAGTGGGTAAACCCTCTAGGTACAAGTTATAAGCTCCCTCAAGCAAGCCTTTTATCAGAAAAGGTTTGAGATGTTCTCTCCTCTGTCTGCCCTTCATTGATAAGTAATGAAATGACCCCAAAACTCAGAAAACAAGTAACATTTATCAATGATCTTCATCATTCCCAAAGCACAGTTTCCAAAAACATTCTATAAGCCAAAGTACCCCTTTAGGGAATGGCTATAGAATAAATGGTTGCTGTATAACTTGCTGTTCAACAGTTCCACTTTCTAGGGGGAGCTCATAACACTGCAGTATGGCAGCATCAGGTCAAGAGACTGTCAGAAATAATTCCATAAACTAGTTCACTAGCTTATTCATCTTTAGAGATCAATTTACTCAATGATGGGCACCATACAACCCAGAATTTTTTATTCTGGAACTACAACTAATCTAGCTCATGACAATACAGTTTTCTCTCACCCCTAGAAAAATTCTGCAAAAGATTTGTGATGGCTATTGCAATTTTTTATAAAAGTCTCATAAAAGCCTTATTTTAAAATGTGAACTTAGGGACCTTATACTTAACTGCTTAATTTGCTTTTTAGAAACGACATCTCAGAGCATTTCACACTAAATGTAGGCAGAATCAGAAGTAAATACTTGTTTTCAATCTACCCTATTACTGTACTACTAATGAAAAGACCCCGGGCCACAGACAATCCAGTGGTAAAACCCTTTTCAAGCAGGGCTACTGACTCGCTTCAGTTCCCCCATCCAAGCTCATCCATAAAATTCGCAGCCCTCGCAGCCCTATGTTCTGCCTGCATGAAAAGAAATTACCAGTGGAAAGGAGGTTGGGGAACTACCTAGGACAAGTCTGGAATTAACCAAATAGAATTTATTTTGTTTTTTAACTCTTTTGCTTGTTAAGATGAAAATGCTAAACTTATTATATTGTTTTATTTAGGAATTGACAAAAACTCATCTAAATGAGTTTTTGATTAATTTAGAATATTAACAATCTTATGTGGAGTGGAAAACTGAAGATCTGCTTTCTTGAGAGGCTCCTGTAATTTTATGATTGGAATTTTGTAGGTGAATATATAGTTGCACTCCAAGGACTGATTCTCACTTAGAAAATTAACTTGAATATATTAAAATTTAAAGATCTCTTTAACTTTTAACCACTCATCAAAAAAGGTAATTTTTTAAATGATTTACCTTGTAAAACAAAGGGGGAGAGCTGCTATAGTCCATCCAGGCCCTATATACTGGTCATCTCATTTCAATTAGGTCAACTGGCCTGCCTTTTCTCTTTGGCAGTCTGAACTCATTTAAAGCCTTTAATAAATGAAAACACTTACCTTAAAACTGACATAACTAAAATGTGACCAGAAAATATACCAGAGCATTGATAATTAAATTCAAACTACTGGTCTTACCATACTTGAGAAATAGATGTATAGTTATTTACATGCTGCCAAAGATAGAGACTGCAGATTTGTAGGATCCAAATGATGTGACTCTCCCACTCCCTCCATCAGATCCAGAAAAGCAATCCTTGAGCAGACACCAATTTAAAATCTTGATATTTTTCTACTAATTTAGCAATATATTATATTAGGAACCAGCTTGACAGATTATAAAAAAGGTAAACATCTCTTACTTTGGAGAATCTCCATGTATCCTTAGGCACCATCTCTATAATTTAGCAGCCTTTGAAACTTTTCTTAAAATCGTAAGGCAACAAAGCCCTTACCATTAAATAGTTTTTCAATCCTTACTATTCAGAGTTTGAGCTCGGGATTAACATTTGCTAATCTAGGTGGACTCAATTTTTCCCACAATGCTCTATACTCTCACCTAGTTTTCACAAATTTATTCCTTCTCTTCCCAAATACTAGGATAAGAGACAGTCTCAAATTGTTAAGTTGCAAAGTTCTTAGGGTTTCTGCTTTATTATTTCCTTGATATCCACAGCAGAAGTTCAGAGGTATAACTTCAACATTAACAGGTGAAAAGTTCTACAATGACTTGTGGCACTCCATCACATTAGAATAATTGAACTATAATTTCCATACAACATAAGAAAACTACAGTATTTGGTGACAACTGCAAGATACCTGATAAATATATCAACTTATTCATGAAAAGGATGGAGCTGGTTATTTCAGCTATAAAAGGGCAAAGCAAAAAGATCATTTTCTAGCCATTTAAAAGTTACTCAAAAAATTGATACAATGGAGTGGAAAGGAAAACAAAAGACTGTAAGCACCTTTAACAATGTTCTTATGTTCCACTGATATACAAACCTCTAAGGTTTCAGTTGGCACAATCAAGTTCAACTTGTACTGACAGAAAATATTAAATTTTTTCCTATTTAGTTTTTAGTATCAAACAAGGAGGTTAGTAAATTGTTTTGATTCTTCCACGGAAAAAAAGTCTAGAAGAGAGACAGGGAATGTAGTGTGCATCCCATATTAATAATTTTTACTTATGAGGTCATAATGAGTGCAAAGAGCTTAGTGATGCATCTTATTCTTTACTTCTGGACAGTAACACCCTCAGATGGTATTTTTATTGGTTTTATATCCCCCTTTTCCATCTGCCCTTTTGAAGTGCTTTTTCTTAAAACTTAAGTGATTTGCCTTCATTTTCTTATAAACCCAATTTCCTCTTTAGGTGCAGCTCTACTATTTGAAAGGAACCTTTCTGTTGTAATTTACAAGCTATGAATAACTGCTGTATCATTCTTTCCAAGAATAAACTGTGAAATGATTTAATCAGATATTTTCCACTTAAAAAAAGGGAGGCTGACCCTAGGAAGTATTTTATTATTCCTTAATAAAAGGAAAACTTTTCCTTTTATTAAGTTACTTCACATTTTATGTATACCTTTTTAAATGAGAAGGACATGGAAAAAAAAAAAAAAAAACGCTTTGTTAACACTCATCTATCTTGTGAATGTTTGAAATCTTTTTTCCTTTATATGCTTGGTAAAGTGAGTATTTCCGAGAAAGCAAAGATCAAATCTGAATACTTCAAAGCCTTTAAAACCATACATGAATAAAACCATACGACTTTGGACACAACCAGAGTAGTTTTTTGCTTTTTGGTTCTTTTTTTCACATACACCATTAAGTTAAACTTCAAGTGCAGTGGAAAGCTACAGCACTTATTTCTGGATCAGTTCACATTCAAATTGTAACCCTTTATCTTTTTCTCAAGAATATTACAAACTGACCCTAAACATTAAAGTACACCTGTGCATTAAATCCCTGGGCATTTCCCATAATCTAGAAAAAAAGCCAAACAAGTTCTAGTGCTCAATGTAAACATTTTTAACTATTAATGATTTACTAATTTTCCTTAAAGGTACTTAGGAGTGTGTGTGTCATGTATTCAAAGTTAACCTTAGGAATAGCACCATAACCAAAAAAACCCATAAAAATGATTTTCTCCATCATCTCTTAGTTTTATTTCATAAGTTGAGAAGCTACCATTGTCAGCTATGCTTTTAAAGAACATCAGGCCCATTCTTGCTTCTTCTGATGAAACCAAATCTGATTAAAAACCAAAATACCACTTCTATATACAAGGGTCTATTTTGGACTGAAAGAAAACACAGTAATTGGATGACCATTCAATGACCAATTAATATGGTCCAAAGAAAAAGAACAGTTCTATTAATGAAGCCTAAACTGTCAAAAGATCATTTTACCAAAAGAATGTATGTACTTATGAATGTATTCCGTATTTATTTATGGATTTTTTTGGTACCATTTTGCAGATGATGGTAAACATGGAGTTATAAACCTGAGAACAGATTATAAAACAGAGAAGGTTAAGAAGAGTTTAAATAAATTAATGGATTTGACATCTATCACCAATTCTTAAAATTCGGGAAGTAAAAGGCATCCCATTAGTCTTTTCATGTCAATAGTCAAGGACAATTATCATGAATCAATCTGTTTACTATATACTTAACACAAGCTCTGAGAAGAAAAGCATCATAGTTCTGAAATGGAACCACAAATGAGAGGTAGGTTTCCCACCTATCGCAGCTGATAATGTCCAAAAACATCCTTCCTCATGCATCAGAGTAGAAAGAAAAGGTACCTCCTACTATGTCAAATGGAATCGGTAACTACAAAATAGGAACATGTAAGAACACTGTCTAACATTGATACCAGTCTGATGCTTCCCTTTATCTGCCACTTCAAAGATAACACAGGAGAAAGGGTTAATTTTGTCTAAAACCAAACACAATTAGGGCTAATAAATAACTTAAAGGTGGGGTACGGTAACATATCCCTTACCTACTAAATATGTAAACCATTTGAATCAAGTCCATCTTCAGGCACAAACAAGTTAGGAATGGCCACCTACACTGGAGTTGCATAACCTATCAAGTATTTGGTTAGAAAATAAGTGTACTATTTGTGTGATAAAGTTTCATTTTAAATGGATTATAAAATTATTTTCCCATGAAACATGACAGTTTCTTATATTTGGACTAGAGGTCACTAATAAAGATAGATTTAGTTGCCCCAGCAAAGAATGCTTAGGATTGCACACAGAAGCAGTAAACTAAAACAAAGAGGTGGAGAATGACATTTAGTTCTTTTCCTGTATAGATAAGATTTGCAATTGCACTCTCAACAAAACTCAACTCTACAATTTCAATACAGATGGGGGAAACCTACATATTAACTTAAATACTCTTTTAGCCCTGTACAACACTCTATTAAAGAACATACTTCTAAAGCTAAGGCACACAAATTTCTCTATTTCACAGAGTAAGATTATGGAAGAGCAAGATTTTGGTTAAATCCCTTACAATGGAAATCAGGAGATCTTGGACAGAAGACAAATTATATAGCATTCTGTTAGTGCACAATTTAAAAGAAAAATGCTATGACTATGCTCTGGTCTTAAGAGGCTTAAAACATGCACTCAAATTATTAAAAATAGTTTACCAGCACTTTATAAATTCAAGTTTATAACATAAAAGTGATCACGTTTTCCTCAGAAAGAGAGAAAAACCCAATAGCACTGGGAAAGAAAATTAGAAACCATTTCAGTGAACATGACCAGATCTGGTATAATGGATTCTACTCAAGTAGCCAGGGAAAGAAAACTAAAGTGGTAGGTACCTTGCCTACAAATCATGGTTACACCTCCCATGATTATAGTGTCAGTATGCATGTATTTATAAAGAATCTGTAAACATAGGTTGTGAAATTGTTATACTACTATAGAACGGGTTACAAACTACTGCCTCTTTGACAAATTCAGAAAATAACTGCATGACACTTGCTACCATGAAAGTAATGCTCATTGGTTTTGATAACCAGGATGTCTAGTGTTTAACATATTTCAAACTCTTGCTATATGTAGTCAAATACTGTCAAAATAGATCTGCCCCCAAAATGAAGCATATTTTGGCACCTGTGCTGAATGCTGCTACAAAGACCAGCAAGTGCAAATAAAAATAACAGTCATGATTTAGTCACATTCATAACTTTTCATAGAAAAATATAAATATATTCCCTGAATTGTAAGACAAAAAAATAATTTTAACAGCCAGCTTTCACCATAAATTCCAGTCCATTTCCTCTAATGAACTGGCTTTCCCTCAAGGTCATAAGGTGCAATCATTGAAATCTAACACATTTTCTAAGCTTCTATCATCATCCCCATCATGGTATCTCACAGTTCTTCTACCCTGATTTCTCGTTTTTATTTTTGAACGTCGAAGAACTCTCTTAGATTTTGCATAGTCCACATCCTCCCAGTCATTATCATCCACACTTAACCTAGGGCATTTGCTTTGTCTTTGACGTCTCACAGTTTTAGATATGTTAGCTGTAAAAGTTTTACCTTTTCTAACTACTTTTGCTTTTCCTTTCGTTTTCCTCCTTTTGGTTTTTGTATTATCAGTACAGTCAATATCTGATTCAGTTACAGATCCCAAATCTGACGATTTGGAACTAGTATCAGGTCTCAACTTTGAATTCCCAGTTGTTTCAGAGATTTTCAAATTTTCCAGTTCAGGATGCAATCTCTTCCTTTTTACTTCCTTCTCTGCAGCTTCCTGTGAATCATGAATCACTTTTGTCTTACTGAAAGGAGCCTTTCCATAGGTCCTGAGTCTTCTGCCATTCCACCTGCGTAGCCCATAATTCAGTTCCACTTCAAAATTATTCTCTGCAGTAGCTTTCTGTGCCAAAGTTGACTCAGAAGAAAATGTCCTATCAATCTCACTCCCTGGAATATGACTTTTTGAATCTTCTTCTGAAGATGCAACAGAGGAACTTTTCCTTTTAGAAGGTGCATCTATTTTGTGAATATTGGTATCCCTGTGCTTGTGTTCAGAATTCAACATACCTTCAGAGTCTGAGTCTCCATTTACAGCCTGACTAAGCACTTTTGTACTACCCTCGGAGACAGGATCAGGCAGCTTGTCGTCAGAGGCACACTGTTCACTTGGCATTTCACAATGTACACTTCCCTCACAATCACCCAATTTCTTCTTAGATGTAGTACAAGCAAGATGGAGAGGTTTTTTCCTTCCATTTTTGCTTCTAGTGCATACATTTTCTAAACTGACATCTTCAACATCACTCATGAGCTTGATCTTATTGGCAGCCGTGGCTGCACATCTTCGAGTAATCCTTAGGAGACCTGTTCTGGCTTTTGTTGATTTCTTAACCACCTGTAAACTGCTGTCTGAGTCACTGGAACAGACCCTTTTCTTGGAAATTTTTCTGCTTTGTCCATTGTCTTGTGATGTAGAATCTAAAAGTTAAAGAGTAGTTTTCTATTAATCTTTAATAAGTAACTAAGTCTAAAGGAATTATATGTTCAACATTAAAAACAAGTCCAGAATTCACATTAATTTGAAGGGGTTACAGCAATGAATGGAATGGTCCACACCTCGTAGTACAGTCATATGTTGCCCAATAATAAGAATCCGTTCTGAGAAATGCATTGTTAGGCAATTTCGTCTTAAGCAAACATCAGAGTGTGCTTACACACACCTGATGGTACAGCCTATTTACACACCTAGGTTATATGGTATAGCCAATTACTCCTAGGCTGCAAACCTGTAGGACATGCTACTGTTCTGAAAGCTGCAGGCAGTTGTTATACAATGGTCAGTATGTGTCTATGTATCCAAACAGAAAAGGTAATGCACTGCACTAGGACTTTATGACAGCTATGACTTCATTAATAGAAATTTCTCACCTTCATTATAATCTTATGAGACCACCACTGTTCTACAGCACATAACTGTACTTTAAAGCAATAACTTTTACATGCTCAACACCCTTCACAAATTCAACACATTCTCCTCAATAACATCCCATGATCTTGACACTGTCATATTAACACAAATACAAGTAGACTGTTTACCATAGCACTAGCATATGCAAACAGACCACTTAACACTCAGCCTCTCTGAAACATCCCATAACTCCCCAAGCTCCAATTACACAATTACTTATCATCTTAGTTTTGGCTGCCTTTTGTTCTATAGTATTTTATCAATCCCCACATACCAAGAGTACAATCTTAATTCAACAAGTTATTTCACCACTCTGTGCTCCAGTTATTACCTGTAAAATGAATAATACCAGTACCTATTTCATAAAAGAAATGAAGACTCAACTGGTTGTTAATGGAAGGCATTTAGAAAAATTTCCTAATAGAAACAGCTCAGTAACTGTTTTGTTTGCTGCTATTAACATCCTTTTTAAATAGTCCTACTCTTTTTGTCTACTACTTAAGCTATCAACAACACAGCTTATAAATGTACCCCTCTCTGCTTTATTCAAGCCCATCTCTTAATATAATATACCCCCATCATCAATACAAGAAGTGAAATCTTCAACAGACATAGTTCTTAAGGCCAAGATTGCCTGTTAGGTGAATAAAACTAAAGTATACTCAATAAAAAGTTATGCATACACATAACAATATAAAGGATGAACAGAAAAGGCTAACACAGAGCACATGGGAGGGAGAGAAACAACAAAGAGAAAAAAGTTTCAAGGGAGAAAAATGTTTTCAGGGGGGAAAAAATCAATGTTACATTGAGGAGTAAAAGGATGGTGAGATTAAATCAGTGAACAAAGATAAATGTTCTGAATTACCTTTCATAAAATTGTTTGGTTTTTCTTTTTTGTCATCATCTGAATCTAAATCAGTTTCAGATACATGATCTGAGAAACACTGGGACACAGCAATGGGGTCACAATTCACATTTCCTGAAATTGGGTTCACTTCCATTTTATGACACTTCTCATCTTCTCTATCCTGCTCCTGCTCTTCAGATTCTGAGTCTTCTGAATCACTCAAAATCTTTGCTTTTTTAAAGAAACTCACATTCTTGTGAAATGTATTGTATTTCCTACCACCAGATTTTCCTGGTTCAGAATCTGCTTCCTCTGAGATGCTCTCTGCCTTAATTTTCTGCACAGATGTCGATGGGCCAGCAGTTCTGTTACATTCATCATCTGAATCATGACTTTTAGAGTCTTCCTCAGAAGACTCTATTTTAAGAAATTTTGTTTTAGAAGGTGCTGGAAAATGAGACTTGTAACCATTAGCATGCCAATTTTTCCGGGCTACCCGCAAATCACTTTCTGACTCTGAATCTCTGTTTTCAGATTCATCAACATTACTCTGGGCAGCATCAGAATTAGACACTGGTAATGGTTGATTTTGATCTTTTAGCTCCTCTTCTTCTATTTCTGACTTTAAGCTCTGATCATCTTCAGAATTATGTAATAACTTTTTTCTAGCTACAGCAGAAGCATTGCGGTGAGGCAGCTTCCGACCAGAACAGACACTTTCAGAGCTAGAATTCTCTTCTACATCACTCATTAGCTTTATCTTATTGGCAGCCACAGCAGCACACTTCCGTAAGACTTTTCGGTTATTTCCAGCTCTGGCTTTTAGAATTTCACCCGTCTCCAATGAATTGTTATCAGAATCACTTAAATAGACTCTCTTTCGAGTAGCTTTTCTGCCACATCCATTTTCTAATGAAACAGGACCTAGAAATAAAGTTAACAATAAGATTAAAAAGTGTTTCCTTATTTCAACATTTTTAAATGACTACTATTCTAATGATTTTCTTCACCTTTTTTGGGGCAGGGGAGAAGGGAGTTTTGCTCTTGTTGCGTAGGCTGGAGTGCAATGACACAATCTCGGCTCACTGCAACCCTCCACCTCCTGGCTGCAAGCTATTCTCCTGCCTCAGCCTCCTGAGTAGCTGGGATTACAGGCACCCGTCACCATGCCTAGATAATTTTTGTATTTTTAGTAGAGTCGGGGTTTTGCCACATTGGCCAGGCTAGTCTCAAACTCCTGACTTCAGGTGATCCACCCGCCTCGGCCTCCCAAAGTGCTGGGATTACAGGTGTGAGCCACTGTGCCCAGCCTTTTCTTCACTTGTTAATGCCAAAATTCATTTCCTTCCTAAATCTAAAGAACCTACAAGACATTAACTTAATCTTGTGTGTAGATATATTAAATCAAGTTGGATTCTTTCAATACGCTTTCCACAGAAGTACCACTGAGTCTCTTACCAGTTTTTCTTTGAGCAGCTCTAGTTCTGGTTACCCTGAGATTGCTGCTTCTGGATAGCCCACTACGTAAGAAGGAATCACGAGCTCTTGAATTCTCTTTGATTTCCTCAGAACTACTGGAAGCTGACGATGATAAAGAGGTAGCTAAAGAATCTTCCATTTCACTTTCTAGGAAAAATAAAGTGTAAATAGTTACATATATTCTTTTGTCTTTACACACATAAGCAAGCAGTTAGTTCATAACATTACTCTGAACATTACATAACATTACTGCAAGATTCTTGAAATGCTTAGAATGTGTTTTTAAAAAACCATTCCCCAAAAAAAGCTGATGAAATTTGGAGTATTAGAAGGTATATAATTAGCATTGCAAATAAAGATTTTGCTTCTATTTCTAAAAATAACAGATTAATCCTAGATTTATGAAATATTTATAAACAGACTTCTAATTAAAAATTAGCTACAGGCCAGGTGCGACTGCTCACTCCTATAATCCTAGCACTTTGGGAGGCTGAGATGAGTGGATCACTTGAAACCCAGAGTTCAAGACTAGCTTGGCCAAATGGTGAAACCCCAGCTCTACTAAAAATACAAAATTAGCTAGGTGTGGTGGCAGAAGCCTGAAATCCTAGCTACTAGGGAAGGTGAGGCAGGAAAATTGCTTGAACCCTGGAGGCAGAAGTGGCAGTGAGCCAAGATCGTGCCACTGCACTCCAGCATGGGCAACAGAGAGAGACTCTGTCTCAAAAACAAATTAATTAATTAGCTCCATATCTACTTCCTTCTGTGGTATCAGTGAGGCATTTCATATAAAAAAGACACCACCATTTCAAGTCCAGCATTTCAGAAAACATAGTTTCCATGTCTCAACATCCTTTTACCCTTTCCTAATAGCATAGTAAGCTCGTTTCTTATGGGGGCGGGAGGAGCGGGCAGTGGAAAGACAAAGTGGCTGTGAGAGAAAAATATCAGACACCAAATTGTATTTCATCCTTTGAACTTGTTCTGTTTGCCCACCTCAGCTACTACTGTCAACTCCACTATCTACCACCTTGACTCTCTGTTTCCAGGCTCCTCCCTTTCCCCTGCACGTCAGTGCCAAACTGATTATTCTTCCTGAAACATAATTCATTATGTGACTTTCTCACTCAACAAGGAATCCAATCCAGTAATCCAAACTCTTCTGAAAGGCTTGAACGTCGCTAAACTGTGGCAGCAGTTACACACTTGGGTGCTCAGCAAAAAATAACATAAAATTCCACTTCTCACCAGATAATGCAGAACCATTTGTTATTGGTCTGTTTCTTCTCCTTCTTTCTGATGATTCTGCTGAATCTGAAGAGTCACCAGAAGTAACACCTGAAGAGATACCAGCACTTGTCTTGTGGGTTCCAGGATAAGCTGTCCTACTTGAGGTAGACTGGGTAGGAGAACCTACCAACTCAGGAATTATTTTTGTCTGAGATTTTAACCTCTTCTGCTTGAGATTTCTGGCCAAATACATGAACAAAGGAAACAGTATTTAACAAAACAAAGATAACATTCACAGAGAATGACCAAATAAAAGTATATCATATTTCTTAAACTGGGCATAGTTTTATGATCAAAACATTAAAATATTCACCACTGACATTTTATTCTGGCACTGATTACTAGTAGTATGTCCTAACTCTAAATCTGACATACTGTTATTCAAATTTGGAGTAATGAACAAATGTTCCAAGTAAGAGTTACAGAAAATCATTTAAATACCTTACATTCCTTATGTAATACAGGTATTTGTTCATACTAAAAATTTAAGCCTCAGTAGGACCCAACTTTCTCCTCTCTTATTTTTACATCCCTAAAGACAGTATAAGGTTAAAAGGAGAAATCAACAAAACCTAAACAGAGAGGAAAAGTTAAAAAAAAAAGGCATCACGCCGGGCGCGGTGGCTCAAGCCTGTAATCCCAGCACTTTGGGAGGCCGAGGCGGGTGGATCACGAGGTCAAGAGATCGAGACCATCCTGGTCAACACGGCGAAACCCCGCCTCTACTAAAAATACAAAAAATTAGCTGGGCATGGTGGCGCGTGCCTGTAATCCCAGCTACTCAGGAGGCTGAGGCAGGAGAATTGCCTGAACCCAGGAGGCGGAGGTTGCGGTGAGCCGAGATCGCGCCATTGCACTCCAGCCTGGGTAACAAGAGCGAAACTCCGTCAAAAAAAAAAAAAAAAAGGCATCACAAAAAATTGATTTCTCTCCCAAGACCATACTATTGACATCTAACTGCACCCATTCACCATGGTTGGCCCCTAGGCCAGGAATTCTGGGAAAAGAGAATGGAAGCTTAAGGCATGTGAGAAATCTGGGTAATATTCATACTGAGATAATCCTATTTTCCTTTAAAACAATAAGAAATGGCTGAGCACACCCATAATCCCAACACTTTAGGATGCCAAGCCAGATGGATCAATTGAAGCCAGAAGTTCAAAACACCAGCCTGGGCAACATAGCATGACCCCATACCTACAAAAAATTTAAAAATTAGCTGGGCGTAGTGGTGTACGCCTATGATCCTAGCTACTCAGGAGATTTGTTTGAGCCTAGGAGCTTGACATTATGATGAACTATGACCACACCATGCACTCCAGCCTGGGCAACAGAGCAAGACCCTGTTTCTTTAAAAAAAAAAAAAAAAAGAAAAAGAAAAAAAAGGCAAAACAGCCTTTTAAGGGGTATCTAGACATTGACGCTTAAAGTTAATCACAATTCTTTAAAGCAATAATTGTCTATACAATAAAACAAACTCAAGCCTGTAATATCAAAAAGTTTTAATGTCATTAATAATCAAGGGAGAGAACAAAGGAAATACAAGGCCAGGCACAGTGGCTTATGCATGTAATCCCAGCACTTTGGGAGACCAAGGCGGGCAGATCACTTGAGGTCAGGAGTTTGAGACCAGCCTGGCCAACATGGTGAAACCCCATCTCTACTAATATACAAAAATTAGCTGACCATGGTGGCACATGCCTGTAGTCCTAGCTACTCAGGAGGCTGAGACACAAGAATTGCTTGAACCCAGGAGGCAGAGGTTGCACTGAGTCAAGATCACGCCACTGCACTCCAGCCTAGGTGACATAGCGAAACTCCATCTCAAAAAGAAAAGAGGCCGGGCACGGTGGCTCATGCCTGTAATCCCAGCACTTTGGGAGGCCGAGGCGGGTGGATCACGAGGTCAAGAGATCGAGACCATCCTGGTCAACAT